AAAAAATATTGACTAAAATAAATTTATGGGTATTTTAATTATTTTATTTAAAATATTTTTAATTATTTCTATTTATTTATTTTTATAGAAATAAACCTATACCCAAATTTTAGATAAATATTTGATTTAAATAAAACATAAAAACCAAAATGTGAAAAGTAGTTTTTGACCATTAGATTGGGCCTTATCAAATCTCAACCACAAGCATCCTTCCACCCATTCATATGACGTGGATGAGACACTTTGAGAAATGACCTTATAGGACCCTTTTCCATCCATGTGTGTAGAATTTCAAAGAATCACCATTAAAGTTGGCACGGATCTATAGAAAAATCAAGTCTCGTACCCATGTGATAATTTTTTTAGAGATCCATGTCAATTTTAATGAAGATTCTTTGGAGTTCTACACATATAGGTGGGGAGGGTCATATAAGATCATTACACTATTTTTTCTACTAAATCATGGTAATCTCCCTCTCTTTGTCTTTTTTTTTTTTTTTGACTTTAATCTTTCATTAATAAATGGAACAAGCTACATAGTTTTACTAGAGGAAAAAATATAAAACAACTCCCTATTTTGAAGAAAGACCGACCAAAACACACCAAAACTCTTAAAATACAACTTAACTCGTAACCTTGAAACCCCTAACCCAACAATTAGCTATGAATCCCTGATCATATAAATCAATAGTTAAAGGCCTCATCCTCTCGGGCCTCCTCAACCCAAACTCGGCTACTCACCATGACTCCTAATTTACAACACTCGTTCAACAATCGCATCATAAGCTGGGGTCGAGTGACAGACAACTTGCTATGACAGTACCAAGGAGAGAATAGATTACGTCACGCAGCGTACAGTGGGTGCCGATGCGCAATCAGCGTCCAAACAGTGTCGAAAGAAAAGTGGTAGGGAGGAGCCAAAGAAGCAGAAGTCAAGTAAAAAACGAATGAGAAAATAGGAAATCCAAAAAGGGTAATGAAGGCATTGGTCGTTGAGACCTGTGAAAGGAAAATATACTTTGATATAAGAAAGTACATATTGTTTAAGAAATGATCCCACGGGACCCTCTCCCATTCATAGGTATAGGACTTCTAAGAGATCATCATTAAAGTTATTACGGATATTTAGAAAAGTCAAGTTACACATTCATGTGATAACTTTTTTAGAGTTTTGTATCAACTTTAATGGTGATCTTTTGAAGTCCTACACACATGGGTGGAAGAAGGTCCTATAAAATCATTACTCATATTGTATATCTGGTTAATATAAAAGGTGTATATTGTAATCAATAAATATGAGATGTATTTTATGATAAGTTTGTGTATAGTTTAGGTGTTTATGATTTAGTTTTTATTAGTGTCATCTATAATTTATCTATAAGATACAAGTTTATATATTTATATCAATCAATGGACACTGAGTCTCTTCAGAGCGAGGTTCATCTTACCTTTGTTTATTCCTCGTCCCTGAAGCATTGTCACCAATTTTGAAGACGAGTCTGTTGTTCACCCAGTCGGTGCAAGTTATGTCGAGTCATGTTTCGACTCTTTGTTGAGTTGTGTTTCGACTCTCTAGTATGTCATCTTTGCCGAGTCGTGTTTCGACTCTTTGATCTGTCTCTCTGCCGAGTTGTGTTTTGATTCTTTGATATGTCTCTATGTCGAATCGTATTTCGACTCTCTGGCCTATTTTCTGGAAGCCATCTATTCTTGAGGCTTGTTAATTCGCTACTACTTTATGTGCTTATTGATTACGCAATCTGAGTATGCACCTGAAAATCCAACTGCTCGTTTCCACGACTTGGTGTTCAAATTCCAGCTGCTCTCTTTCATAATATATTGAGTTTGAGGAGAAGTGTGAAAGGAAAGTATATATTGTATATCCAGTTAATATAGAAGGTGTATATTGTAATCAGTAAATATAAGAAAGGTAGGATATTGTGCTATGTAGCTTATGGTAAGTCTGTGTATAATTTAGGTGTCCATAATTTAGTTTCTATTATTATCATCAGTAATTTATTTATAAAAAACAAATCTGTATATTCATATCAATCAATTGACACTCAAACACTGTGTCTCTTTAGAGAAACCTGAAACTCTTCACAAGACCTCCGTAAGAAAATATATAAGGCGACAAATATAAGAGATTAGACCTCTTAAGGGAGTAACAAATTTCGCAACATGGCTGGTGAAGACCTATAAATAGGCCAACCTCATCTTAGGTCTTAACTTGAAGTAACCAAATACAAAGAATCTTCTGGCCCTTAGAAAAATCCTAATACCTCATAAGCCGTCCAACAACTACTGGCCCCAAAAGGAAAGGTAAAGTCCATCTTGAGGGTTAAACTTCCTTGGGCAAATGAGAGACGAAGAAAGAGAGGGTGATCACAAACACAAACAGCTTTAGATAGCTTTAGACTTAGGAACATCAATCTCTTTCCACATTACTTGCTTCTGAATTCTTACTCATAGACCTTTACTCAAAAACCTTGGTGAGAGAGAATAAGATTACTTCAATTTAGATTTAGAAGGAAAAGATGACACCTCTTTTCTGTATCTTTATTTAAGTTTGCAACCAATATATAAACTTTGAAAAACATTCACATAAGGCGTAAAAATTTTAATGTAAAAGTAAGGTGCACCTATACCCACCCAAAAAAGGGTGAACCACATCAAGAAACTTTATAATTGATCATTTTGACTTCGACGTATATAGATACAAAAGGAAAAAGCATATTAAGTCTTAAAAATGGTACGTCACATTATCTAGATTGTCTATTTTCAAAAAAAAAGTAGTGTTTTTAAATATGCTCAATCTATACCATTTTTGAATCTTTAGATTTCATAATTATGAATGAAAGTAGATTATGTTGAAACATAAGGTGGGTGAAACAGGCACTGGAGTATGTAGTGAGAAACATGGAAAGAAACAATTAAAAAAAAAGAAAAGGACTTTCCTATTTACAACCACGTTAGATGTGTTCTCTCAAGTTGTAATTTGCCCCTTTATTATAAAATAACAGCCTGCAAAGAGCAAACCCTAGCGAATAAGTCCTCCATGTATATGAAACTAAAAATCATCTAAAAAACTTGTCTATTTTTGTACCATATAGACAAGTGCTAGAATTTAGAGAGAGAAACTGGCACACTTTTGTATTTTTAAAAAGAAAGTAGAAAATGATTACTTTAAAAAAATATAAAAAGTTTATAAAAAATGGTTGAGAGAAAAAATCAAGTAAAGGTGAAAATCTCATAGCAAAAATGCCATCTAATAGCGTGTGAAGAGGCACACACTTAGATGTTGCCGTTCACAATGCAAGTACTATTGGGTTTCCAACAATCGCAGTTGGGTTTCCAATGGTTATTAATTGCTGGAATAACCAAGGGGCATCATGCATATATGCCCATTCATGTAATGGCTAGTTTGGGTTGCGTCTAGTAAAAAATGGGGCGAGCCGGAGTGCGAGCTAAGGGGGCCTTCGAGCCGATGTGAGCATGCAAAGTACATAGTGTAAAATGTGCTATCAATCGGCTATTACACACACATACGTGTGGCCATTACATGGTTTACATGCTCTGTACATGTGTCTATACTCTCTCTTTTGTTTTATGAACATAACGTATGAATGTTTTTTTATATTAATATCACTTTCACGCTCCACTTTTCATTATGAGATAAAAACTCACTATTTTATTTTTATATTAATTTAAAACTTTTAAAAACATGAGATATATTATTTTGAAAGGTTTTATTAGGTTACTCCTATATATATATATATTTAATGTACTCAATATTTTTAGATATTTATATATCATTGATTTGTAATACAAAATTTTTAAGCAATGACATTTTTTTTGTCATTCGGAGATGTAGAACAGATATTTTTATAATAAACTAATGGTATTTTATTAATGGTTAAAAAATAATTAATGTTTCATATTGGTGATATCTATTAAAACTTTTTATTTTACTATTAATTAATTATTTAAAATACCACTTAACAAAGAATTATCACATTGTGGGATAACATTGTATGATAAGAGTGTCAAGTGTACAAAAATATTATCCTACAATGTAGGATAATAATATCAAGTATATAAAAATATTAAGTACATTAAATATATACTACATGCGTGTGACTAACGTAACAAAACCCTATTTTGAATTATACTATAGTTTTTAATATACTAAAATCAGAACATGAAGTGTTGAAGGGTCTCAGTGCCATTACTCGTTATAACATATTTTTGTGCCGCCCTAAAGGTTTCCAGCACCAAAATTGCCTTTTTTTTTTTTAACAAAATTTAGAGATACACCGTGTACAAAACCACGCCCATGCACTTTTATGGAAAGGCGCACTTATCCGCCTTTTCGAAAAAGAAAAAGTTTATATGGAGCCTAGGTTCTAAACAATCCAATCAAAGACTATATAAAAAATTTTACTAAAAGACATTGTTTTGATGTGCAAACAATTTCAAATTGATTTTCTTGAGAGCAAGATGCATGGACATTAAAAAATAGATTTCAAGTTTTGGAAGTAGTGCATCTTGTAATGTATTTTTTTTACCGTCAATTTTCAAGATTTTCAAGTTTTAAAAAATCTTCTCGATCTACATTATTTTTGAAGTTTTAAATTTTATTATTAGTGATAAAAATATATTTTAAAGTTATCATAAACACTTTTATTTGAAACCACATTTCTCAACAGGTTGGCTCTACTTTGATTGTTTAGAGCCTCGGCTCTACAAACCGCACCCTTCCCAAAAAAAAGAGGGGAACTGACTATACTTCCAAACCATTTGCGGTTTTTTCACCGGTACCAAAACCGGCGGCATTTCAGTGCGACAGCCTAAAAACCAGGGGCACTTTTGTACTTTTTCGAAATAAAAATCCAAATAATTAAAGCAAAGCCCGAGGCCCGAATTAAAGCCCAAAGAGGTCCACAACCAAAAGCCTATAAATCTAACCCCCAACGTTTACTCTTAAACCTTAATTTTCGACCCCCATTATCATCTTCTTGTGGTGCAGGAGGACTTGTTTCTCTCTCTTCTCTCTGAAACCCAACTCATTTCCTCCTTCTCTCTCTACCCCAATGCTGAGGAGGACCAAAAGCTCCTTCAAACTCGATGGAGGGACGCCTAAGAGAAATAATTCCACTACGACAGGTTCTCGAAGCACTCCTGTTGGCCTTCGAATCGTGATCGAGATTCCTCAGAGGGAGTCGGGAATTGTCGATAAATCGATGATAAGGCCAAAAATGTCTGAAATTCCAGCATCTTTTCCGGCAAACATGCCGGAATTGGGTTTTCTCCAATCATGTTCTATGTGCAAGAAAAAACTCTCCCCAAAAAACGATATATATATTTATAGGTAAGACAACAACAAAATTCAAAATTCAAAATTCAAAATATTTTTATATTATTCCATGTGAAATTTGTGTAGCTTTAGACTTTCATGATCAAATAAATTGAGCATTCTTTCATTTTTCTTTTTGGGTGATTTCCTAATTCTTTTGTTTTTTTGGTAAATTTTGCAGAGGAGAAATGGGATTTTGTAGTGTGGAGTGCCGGTGGCGACAAATATTCATGGATGAGAGAAGGGAGAGATCAGTTTCTACCATCTCCAAGGCTTCTTCCTCGATGTATTGCCGGAACGATCGCAAAGCTCATGTCTCTAATCGTGAGAGAAGATTAGAGGCCGCTGCGTAATTTAATTTCACAAAGACAAATACAACAAATCTCTCGATCTATATCTCTAATTATATGGCATGATCTCTCACTCTCAAATTTATAGCAAGAAAAACTCATCTTCTAAAATGAGGACTTTCGTGTCAGATGACATCTCTCTCTCTCACAATCAAAAGGGTGCTCTCCATCTAAAGTGACCACTTCTTGTATCTCTCTCTCTCTCTAGATCGGACAGCTCTACTGTCTCTTACCCTCAAGCAAAAGGACACTGTCCCCCTAAATGGATCACTACCATGTGAGATCTCTCGCTGCTGTGTAAGGTGGCCCAAATTTACTGTAAAATGTATAAAGAGGTTGGCGGAATGACTGGTAACAAAGCGAGGAAGTACGCAGATGAACGGCTATAAATCATCTTGTATTTTGTATTTTTTTTTTTTTTAACATTAACACAAGATATCTTGTATTTTGTATTTGTATGTAAAATATAGAATATAGAATAAATTTTCTATGCTGGTAGTAATTTTTTATTTTTTTCCCTTCAATTTTACTTTTAGCACAAACAAATGAAGAAAATCATTTTACGTTTCTCACATGCTTTTGAGTTTTGACTGTTGCTTACCATCAAAGATAAAAAGTATTTTATTTTGTCGCTATGCATGAGGTCGCTTTCGCTTGTATTAAATATTGACCTATACAAGGCAAGGCACAGTTAATACTGGGCATGTTACTGTCTCATCACATCAAATCAAAACTACTATTCTACGCATTATAATAGGCATCACTTGCACACTCGCACGCTATGCTGTCAGTTTAACTTCAACCACTATCCTATGAGCTCCTCTACTGTACGATGTTTTGATGAGGGATGGTTGGAAACAGCGACTAAGAAAAGGGTAAACCGAGCTCAACCATCCCTTGTCGACATTGTAGGGTGGAGGAGCAACTTGGATATTGCTTGAACCAGTCTAGTAAAAATCCAATTGGCATGGTCAACCCTGAGATGGTGTTGGAAGTGGTTCAATTGGCTTGATTGGGTAAGTCTCGAGTTATTAATTTTTTTTAAATAAATAAAAAAATATAATAAAATCAAATAAAATATGAAATTTTTATTTAAAGAGTGATTAAACAAAACACATCCAAATGAAGTTGGCATTAATGGATCTGAACGAATCAATTTTTGTCTAAAGATATTTTTAAAATTTTATAAAAAGATTGGTAAATGAAAACATAAGTATTAATAGCCAAAAAAATTTCCAATATTTGTCAAAATGATGAAAAAATTAAAAATTACATTACGAACAAAATATTTTATTATTTTTATTTTATTTTTTTAATTTTTTAAAATACTCAACCGGATCACCAAAATCGACCGAAACCAGAATTGACCGATTCCGATCTAATCAGGCAATTATGATTTGAACTACCCGAATTTTCCCACACTGGCTTGAACCGATAATTTAAGAATCTAAATCGTGTCTTGAATTGCCAAATGTCTTCGCGTACTTTGACTAGGGTGACTGTTGAGTCGGATGGGACAGTGTCTGAATCTGATTTTCACTGTCTGCCTCAGATGAGTCTAGGATAGGACTTAAAAAATAAATTACGGAATAGTGTATGACAATGCCATTTGTATTTGGTACATGGAAGTCACAATCAATCTTGACCACTGAGTGCAAAATTAGGCGACTAAATGTATTCTATTGACCAAGCTTAAAGTTCAAAAGAAATTTTATAGAACTTTGTGACATACCCAAGCTATCAAATTTTACTTCGGATTGTTATAGATAATTTGAATCAGTATTATCAAGATCGGACCAATTATCGAATAGGTATGGGGTTTGGTCTAGTTAATCAGTTCGACCGCTGGTTGAACAGGTTTGATCATATTTAAAAAATATTAGAAGAATCTGAATAATAGTTAATAATATGTAATGGACAGGCTTTCTATACTTCCTCTAATGTATAAAACTTATATACGTCCCCCTACTAAACAGTCCATTCTGAATGAATTGTTGAGTTGGCCTAGATCACAATGTCACGCCTCTACACTAATTTATTTTTAATTTTGTTTCTACAAAAAAATTGACACCAAAATTTGGGCGTCCACTCCTCTCTTAAACTTGCACATATAAAAATAATAATAATATTCTCAATAAAATAAACTAACCAAAATACCCCTAAAAGTTTTAGGGGTATTTTGGCCATTTTAGTTTATCAAAAATAAATTTTTAATTTTTTTTAGATGCGCCTCCACATACCGAATTTTATATTCACGTAACTTTTAGAAAAGAAAATTAAAAATAAAATACTCTAAAGTGTCTGTTCTAGATCAAACAGTCAGTGCCTCACTTGACGAAAATTGGACGGCTGGATGGGAGGGGGGGGGGGGGGGAGAGGAGTATATATCTTCCATACAATAGTGGAAGTATAGAAACATTTCTCATATGCAGCATATTAAAAAATAAAGTTGCCCACTATTTTTTTGGCCAGTTGAATTGGTCGAAACCAGTCAATCGCATTGGCTAAACCTCGTCAAACATTGATTTCAATTGGATTTTGAATAAACTTAATTTTTACCCTAGACTTGACGAGCCAAAATACCGATCAACAGTCCCAGAAATTGGACCACCAGTTTGGTCTAGTCTTAATAACTATGATTTGAACGAGTGATTCTCCCTATCTATATATCCTCAATGCCGCTCTCTCTATCTCTCTCTTCCAACCTTAATCCATCCGTTTCCCGAATGTCCCAGCAAAAGTCTATAACATCATCGAGAGATAGCAAACATTTGAGGATCAAAGCCCCCATAGAACAGAGTTCCCCTTCCAGCCTTAAGGCATCCAGCCGATGCTGTTATGCCAAGAATAGAAACCATTACAGGCATTATGGCAAGCAAAAGCTTCCTAGAATCATTCCAGACACCAAAGAACAATTTTTCCATGCGGCAGGACCTCATTTTTACAATATGTGGTCCAGAGGTATAAAACATCCATAGGTGGTCCATCTAAAAACAATTATAATTAACAGTTTAAATTTTTTTTTGATATAATTATTATTACTGATTTTCAAATTTTATTTATTTTTTTTAATTCATGATCTTGATGTTAAAATTATATATTCTCTAATTATTAGGATCAAATTATATTTATAAAATATATTTATTGCCCAGCCTGCATTTCTACATGTGCGGGCTTGGCCGCTAACCGCGTCCCACAAGAAAATTCTATGGAACGAAAACTTTTCAATGGAATGATGGGTGGCAAATGAGAGCGTGGGAGACACTCTTATCATCTTTTTGTGGGTCACACTCCCTCTCCACCAAAGTCCATTATTTTCCTTGGAAGGTGATGACTTGGTGGACTACGGTTCTTCTTCGTAGTCCTTTCTACTAGTCTTTAGTGAGATTTCATGCGAAACAACTCATGTGACCACTATGGTGTGAGGTTGGATAAGTTTGCCATTTGAGCTGAATCAGAATGGCAACTCCATTAGGGTTGTGCCGTGGCAAGCTCAGGTTGATGACATGCACATGGTGTGCTTTTGTGTGAGAGATAAGGGTGAGAATTCACCTGGTTCGGATTCGAAACCCAAATTTTGGATTCTAATAGGATCCGAGTATGGATCAAAGATTTGGATCCAGATTTAAAATATGAATTCGAATTATTATTTGGATCAAATCCGGCTTCAGGTGGATCCAATCTGGATCCAATCTAGTTATTAAAATAATATATATTATTATATATATGTTATATATTTATTAATTTCCGTATATAATATTTCTAATTTTTAAATGCTTAATCCCCATTCTGGATTGGATTGTGGAACGAATCGAATCTTGATCCAGATTCATATTCGGATCCTATGGACAGTTTTTGGATATGGATCCAAATATTTTGGATCCATTCGGATCTGGATCCACATTATATGTACATTTTTCGGATTCGGATCTGAGTATGGGTGGATCTGAACCTCATCTGAAAAATTCTCAGCCCTACTTGTTGATATAGGATGGCTTTGTTTGTGTTTATAAAACTACGTCGATTGTTTAGTCCTTTGCTTTTGATACATACGGTGTTAATGGGCCAATGGTTATTCTACTGCTTGGTGTATCCCTTGAAGTGGGGATGGATTTATGGTTGGTGTGTAGTGACAAGCTCAGGTTGATGACATAATAGTTACTTTGTCCTTCAGCGTCAACTTAATACTTACTTTGTCCTTCAAATAGTTGAGAGTACGACATGAACATATAGGATTTAATTTTTATTTTACAAATATTGTTAAGTTAAATTAGAAGGTAGAGAAATTTTACTTAACTTGCAATGATATGTCGAGAACGCTTAGCTTCAATATGTAAAATATTAAATCAGTTAGGACCTTATTTCCTATACGCATAAAAATGTCTTCGAAATAATATCCTAGCACCAAAACAAAGAAGATAGAGATGTCTTGGTCACCATATTTATCTGTTGAGCTTCATGTTCGTTATGTTTAGCGTTAGGTCTGACATCTCATGAGCAGTGAGAGTTAATGGTAGATACACTATTGATACTGGCCACGATCAATAAGACTATTGTGAACTGGTTCCTTTGTTATATGAAGGGAGGTTGCAATGCTCTACTTGTTACTGGGGGATAGATTTAAAAGTTATCAACCATGTCAATGTAGACTTTGTGGGTGACTTGGATAAAAGGCATACTACAGGGTAAATTTTTTTTCTTAGTAGCTAGTGTAGGTAGCCAGTTATCGAAATTGCAATCTATATTGGCATTGTCTATTGTAGAGGCTAAGTATATGTCACTTATTCATGTGCCAAAGAAACAATTAGCTAAACAGTTTATCTGGATAGTTTCAAATTGTGCAAGAAAGGATCTCACTTTATTTGTGATTGCCATGCGCCTTTTTTTTTTAGCAGAAATCCAATTTTTCGTAATAGGATCAAATATAATGATATGCAATATCACATTATTGTGGAAGATAGAAAACCTTTGCTTTCAGGTAGTTATAGTTCATGTTGGTGACAATTCAGCATATATCTAAACAATGAGTCCATTGATAAAGGCCACAATCAAGTAAGAGAATATTAGAAGCGAACGATTGTTATTTTGGAAAATGTGTACTTCCATATGAAGCCTTATCTAAATAATTTAATTTGAATAGAAGAAAAAATCCTAAGATATATGGGAAGCATACATGCTCGAAGGGAAATTGTGTTTCCAAAGAGATACTTTCCAAACTTCTAAAACACAAGCAATAAGGAGAGCCTCACATGAATTTCCCTTCGGAGTTTCTTTGTATATGGATTATCATGTAGAGAGATTACACGAGATAGAACTTATGATTGAGAAAAGGAAAAAGTTTATATAAGGGCGAGGCCCTAAACAACCAAATTAAGGCGGACCTTAAAAATTCACAAGAGGAGGTTGTTTTAATTTTTCAAAACCCTCAATTTAATCATC